AAAAAAAAAAAAGACTGCACACAGCTATATAAGTATATAGTTGTTGAAAACTGAATAATTTGATTCCTTCCCAAGACCCTCCCAGCACCTGGGTTCTAGGTCTATGGGGTCCTTGAAAAAAAAAGAGGTCAAAGAGGTCCTAGAAAGGAATGGGAAAATGTACAGGAGTGAAGAAGCTAAATTTCAAAGATTAAACTTTGTGGTGCTGAGAATTAAACTTCCACACCTTGATTCAAAAATATTTCTTCCCTAGTAACAGGAGGTATTTACAAGTCTACTCCCACACTCCATTTGTATGTTGCTCTACATGTACACAACTAACAACATCATAATAAAGCAGCTTCAAATTGGATAGCCTAGGGCTGTAGGCAGAATGTCGCCCCAGTCACCTTAAATTTCAACAGCCCAGGCTTATTTCTGTGTATAGCCTTTCAACTTAGAGGCCTGCGACAGGAGACGAAGAAAAAAAAGGATGGGTCCTGACATTCATTCTTTATTTTCGCAATACTAGGGACTGAACTCAAGGCCTACCACACATTAATCCTCCTGCCTCAGYCTCCMGAGGACCTGGGATTACAGCTGTGTGCCACCATGCCATACTCTGACAGTGATTCTTTTTTACCATCCTCACCTGGATATAGCGTCCAGATTTGATCCCAGCTTCTAACACTTCCAAGGGAAGATGTTCTGGGTACTCTTTGCCATGGCTCTCCTGACTCTCATTCTCTCTCTCCTGTCGAGACTGAAGGATAGAATCATAAAGCTCATGGGCGGCTTTTAAGTCTGGCCAAAAGTTGTCCAGGTAATTCTGCATTGAATAAAGGGACAGAGAAACATGGTCAGAAGATAATAATTTTTAATTATAGTACTACTGAAAAACCTTGCCTAGGGAATGCTGTTCCTGAGCCTCAAGTTACTGGCTTATTTTMTTCTATTTCCTGAAGCCTTGCCAAGAATTCCACCACGGTGCATTTCTACCTCTTTCTTAGATTTTCTGTATTTTTAAACTTCTCTGTCCAATGCCCTAGCCACCCACCCACCTAAAACACACACACACACACACACACACTCACACTCAGGTAGCCTGACTTTCCATATATTGCACTGTTACAGACAGTAGTCTGTATGGACAGGAAAGTCTCCTGTGTAGGTATTCTTACTTTTTTATTTGTGATTTTAACTCAATTTTAATTCTAAGGTAGAGTCTGGCATATTCTCTTTTCTCAAATTAAAAAAAAAATCCTGATTGTCAACTCTAGCATTTTGCTCATTAACTTCAGGGTCCTTTCAAACAAACTGYGCTAATGCTAATATTAGTATCCTAATTCCATAGTCACTTATCACTAACAACACCAAACTTTTGTCATTGTGAACCACCTCTTCAAGTGGTATTTATCATATTGTCTTTTTTCCATCTAACTTCAAGTCCCCAAAGAAAATTCTGGACTTCCCTCTCATCTGAACTTCACAATCTCTCTCTTTTTCTACCATCATTCACCTCTATGAGGCCCTTGGTCACACAGCATACTTGAGAAATGCTATACAAAATAAAACTGTCCTATCCTACTGAACTACAAAGAAAAGTAATTTTCACAAAAAATAGAAAAATGTAATTTTAGTCAACTGTCCTCTGCAGGAACAAGATATGATATATTACAACAGAAGAAACAAGTGACACTGCCATTAATATCTAGTGCCCCTAGAATTCTCTGGCATGCCAAAACACTTTTTTATAGCAGGGCTAAAAAAATTCTATTGGCAAATCTTTAGCAATACATGCACATGGGAATCCTTATAGAATCTACAATTCAAAATCCAACTAGTCTTTCTACATAAACCCACAGGGGTAATGGAGAACCTCATTCTAGTTTCTAAATCATAAAATGAAATTAACCAGTAGAAGTTGATTGACCAACTGGGCCGARAGGGGAGACCAGTCATCTATTGAGAGATTAACAGTCCTCCTGTTTTCTCAAAAGGTGCTTAAGAGATAGGAAGAACTGTATTGCCATGACAGCCTGAAGAAACTGGCACTGATAATGCCACTCCTGTTATGATCTCCACCACGCTGATCTGACAGCCTTCACATAAATTATATCCTATCTCAGCCCCCTTCACTTGTCCATATGAACTCCCAGGAAAACTCCTAAGTGGGAAGAATGAGGAATAGCTGGAAAATAAAACTGCCTTAAAATAGTTTGTGTTTTGTGTGTGTATTCAGGAAAATAATCTGGGAGTCAGGTCTGAATGGTGATTAGGAGCTCTGGAGTCAGACTTCCTGGACACCTTCTGGCTCTACCATTCTCTATTTTGTGACCCTGGCAAGTCACTTAGCCTTTTTGTGCTTCAGTTTCTTTACCAATAAGATGGGATAATAAYACCCACTGCAGAAGATTTGGGCAAGAATTAAATGAACTAATACACATTGGTATGTATCATTCCATTTAAATAACACACTTAGGCTTGGCATAGATGCATGTTGAGTATTAGGAGGGACTATAAAACTGCCAGTTTTTTGGTCAAAAATAAGAGAATTGTGGCAATCTTATT